GATTTAAAAATGTAAGATTGAGCTGATTGGTTTCTTCAAATGCCTGCTTCTGCCATTACCTGTCTGGGCCAGAAGCATCTGTCCAAGACATAATCTGCACAGTAGAAATTCATGTGCAGCCATTTATCTTCCAAGTTAATTTACAGTGGAGGAGACCCAGTGAGGTACAACCAGACAAACACTGAAAATCTTGCAAACACAGCTAATACAAATTCCTGAAGAAACAAAAAATGAGGTAGTTTGAAGTCTCCCTTCCCCACTGTCCTAAAGGTTTTTGAACCACTGGCTGAAAAGGGGAAAAACACCCCCAAAACTCCTAGCTGCCATGGCTGCAAAAAAAACATCTTTACAAGTAAGAATGTGCTGACCAATGCACTGACCTGAGTCTGAACAACCTTAAATTATAATTATAAGAGGACACCCCTCCTTCATCCTCCACTAACACTACAGCTGCTGCATAAAATGTTTTGCCACTCAATAAAAAGTGGATCTAGCACTCTGGATTAACCTCAGCAATACCTGAATCTGGCCCACCCCTCCTCTCATGGGGAATTGCTTTTTAGGTCTGTGGAACAAAGTCAAAGCAATCAGGACCATCCCAGAGCTCTGCAGTGGCCCTTGTCTGCCTGGTCTCTCAGCCTGGGCACAGGTACCACGGGGAGTTGCAGCAGCGAGAGAAGAGCAATGCTGCCATCTGCAGATCATCAGGATTCCAGCCTGCACCTAAGACAGGCACTGGACAAAAACGTGTTCAATGCTGGATGAATTTCAGATCTCTAAGCATTTTTCTATTAGAGGTCCACTTTCTTTAAAATGAGTTGAAGCTGGCTAATAGTCTCTGTCTACTACCAGGACAAAGCACTAGAATGTGCTTTAAGAGCAAGTGCATAACAATTACAATGGAAACAAGGCACCAAACATGCTGCCTTGCTAAAGGATACTCAGCATCCTGGTTTCTGCAGATTCAGAAAACCAGCTTTATCACATTTTTTGGTGAGGAATCTTGAGTAGTGCCTCTGTGTATTTGGATGCCATGCTATTCTGCATTTTATCCTCTAAAATTATCTCCACGTGCTATGACCTTGGGGCTCACTCTGCACCTCTGAAAAGCTGAAAAGGCCTAGCCTTCTTGGAATCATAGAATGTCCAGCAAGTCCAAACAGGAAATCACTTCAAAGTAGACAATGACAGTAAGATAATGTTGCAGATCAAAATAATGGTTTATAGTCACTAAGCTTTACTGCAGGAACTTTTTTCATTCTCTCCTACTTATATGGATTTTAAGCTAGAAGTAAAAACTGAAATCATCATGATTCACAAATCCCTCACACATCAAATCCTCTTTATACTTGTTTTCTGCCATGTGCATCACAGACAAGAGAAGTAGCGCAGCCAAGAGGTCTTTCCAGACTCTTCAAACCACTTAAACCATATATGAAAAAAACAGAGCCAGAAGGCAAGACAAGACTTCTTAGTCTCCTTAAGCTAACTGCAGATGCATTTCTATAGTAGACTGCACTGGTGGCCAAGGGGAAAATTTCAAACTGTGCTTTAGGTTAATTTATGATACACACAGGGGAGGCATTATGCTGTCACAGTCCATGGAGTAAATAAAATCATTAGAAGTCAGACACAAAGACCATGGCATTGGAAGGATTGCAGACCACACAGGTGAGGATGAAAAAGTCCATCTTTATTAGAAAAGATTAAAAGTTCAGCTGAAACCTTCTCGCAAATGCTGAACAGTATATGGCACAGAAAACTGCATCAAAGAAAATTCTGCTGATTGATGAAAATAATGCAACTACTCTGAAGTCTGCCATTAGCACAAGATGATCACTGCTACTGAACCTGTCACCCAATGACATGGAAGGACAGGATTATGTTTCATACACACAAGAAAGTACAATCTTTCACACACTAACCCTATAAAGATGGCAGACAAGGACCCTCCTTCCCAGAACGTGCTGTAATATATGTGCAAAAATACAACTGGAGTGATACAAAATAATCAAACACAGCATAATAAACAGAGTAACAGTCAGATGCTTTATTGGATAAGAAATGCCAAGAGGTGCTTTAGCACACGTTAACAGATGGGCTACAGATCTCTTTATCTACCACGGTAGGCTCATCACACTGCAACACAGCTCATCCAGAGAGACCTGAAAGATGTTTGTAAAGTTCATATTCAGGGAAAGCAGCAAGGGACAGGGAGGAGGGGG